TCTAAAGCTACATGAATGCCGAGAAAAAGTTGTATCCTCAAATTTTTCACCAGTAACCAAAATTTATAATGACCTTGTGACAGAATTTAACGATTCAGGCATGAATCTCTTAAAAGCGCTTCCAACATTCGAAAATATTAAAACCACATTGTATTACGCAAGAAATAAAGAAGCTGGTGTTTCAAAAATACAATGTAAACAGCCCGAAGAAGTAACAATACCATTGCAGTTTAAAGATTTTGTTTTAGCGGATTACTATGACGAGTCTACCAATATCAGAATAATTGTTTTTGGTCACTCTGAAGTTCTGAAAAACATAAAAAATGTAAATTTTTTTTTGAGTGATGGGACTTTCCAGAGCTGTCCAAAACCATTTGTCCAACTTTATACCATCCATGGTGATCTTGGGAGCGATGAAGAACATACGCGAATAGTACCTATTATGTACGCATTACTTGACAGAAAAAGCGAAGAAGCCTATACAATTCTTTTTCGGGTAATAAAAGACCATATCCCAGAATGGAAACCAGTGAAATACATGACAGATTTTGAAAAGGCAGCAATGAACGCAATAACAACAGTCTTCCCCTCAGTCGAAGTAAAAGGGTGTTATTTTCATTTTACCCATAATGTATGGAAGAAAGCCAAATCGTTAAATTTAACTAAACAAAAGCGACTTCGTAGACATGTGGCACTCTCTGCTTTACTACCATTGCTACCGCGACAATTTATCTCAGACGGTTGGTGCTATATAATGGAAGACGGTCCTGATTCAAAAGAAATACAAGAATTCAACGACTACATGGTGACACAGTGGTTAGAAGACGAAGCTTTTGTAGACATTTGGTGTGCTCATAATCAACGCCACCGCACAACCAACGCTGTCGAAGCATGGCACAAAAAACTGAATAGTTGTCTTCCGAGTCATCCCAACTTGTACCAAGTTTTGAAAGTGTTAAAAGACGACGCAAATTTACAATGCGTCAAGATTAATCAGGTTAATTTCGATATGCCAAATTCAAAACGACGTTTACCCAAAGACGTTGCTGCAGACAAATGGTATGAACATGTAACCAACCAACTTTTGGCAGAGCAAATTACGGTTGGTCATTGCTTGGAAAAATTTAGATTATGATTAGGTGCAGGTAGTACCTACTCTTAATCTAAACTTATCTGAACATTTTCCAATTTTTTAATCACATTTTATTTTTCCGATTTTTTTTTCTTGTTTTATATTATCTAAGTTACTAAGTACTTCAAATATTTACTTGTAGAAATATTATTTAAATACTATAGTAGGTATTTCAAATTTTTTTTTATTCCGACAAGCTGTTGCTTGTGTTGCTGTTGCTAACTATGAAAAATTATTTAAGTAGGTACCATGTTTTTTTTTAAATGATGCCTTAAATTGTTAATTTTGTGATTGTTATATTTTTTACTATTGTACTTTACATTCTGTGATTTGAAAACTGATTGTGATATTTTAATGATAATATACAAATTATTATAAATAAAGTTGATTTTTAAACAAACAAACCTTTTTGTTCTGACTATTTACCTTTTGTAGAATGCAGGGGGATCGGTTAAGAAATTCAAAATACAAGGTGGATCCGTTAAGAAACTATTAATAATAATTACGCTAGGGGGATCAGTTATGAGGGATCCGTTTGAACTAACCCGAAAAATTATAAAACCCACATCACAATAAGAGTGAAATGTTTATAATGTTAATCGCGAAGATGTATGTATAATATTATTCAAACACAAATTGATGAACACTTACTGTGTCTTGATATTTTACTATGTACACGTTTTGGAATGTCTCAATTGATTGCTGCCACGGGACCTAGGTGTGTTTGTTTACTGACTTTTAGATAGTCGTTCAACTGGTTCCTGCACTGTTTGCCTTATAATATTGAATACATAATTTTGTTCAAACTCGGACGTGCGTGGATATATTCTAATCTATACAGTGGCTAGTATGATAGTTTTGCTGCACTGTTTTAGGCCAGCAGTTTGCAAAGTGTGAGTCCGTATAACGTAAGTCCCCTCCGTCAGGACCCGAGTAGGAATGAATAGAAAGAGCCTAAATTGTTTATTGAAGGTGAACCAGCGAGTCACACGAGCACTCCACTTGATCCAAACCGACATGTTTTTTAACTAGTCAAACCTGTTGCTAATAAGGCTAACTGCCTACGTTACTATTGTTGCCTCTTACTCTTTGTTGGAACGGCATCAACAAAAAAGTCCGCATAACATTATGGCGTATTGTTTTGTTCATGTTATGATTTAATTTACATCTCTTTTTTATGCATAGTAAGCGTTCAGACGATTATATTTATTTATACATGCAAAGCACGTAGTTTTGTATGTTTTCTCTGCTGTTAGTACCTATCAAATTCATTGAAATATTACGCAAACATAAGTCATATAAAATAGATGTTTAGGGTATAATTTAAAAAGAGATTCTATCAAACCCCTTGTCCTCGAATTAATTGCTTACTAAACTCACCTAGAAAAACTAAATTAAAGACCTTTCTAAAGAAATAGTATTAAAGAGGATATACTTGCATTATTTAATCAAGCTACGAGCCAATTAGTTCCTGTAACTGCGACACAGTGAGGTTTCGGTCGGAGCCCCCCACCGGAGGCCGGAAGGTCGCGTCTCCATCGAACCCTAATCAAGTAGAGTGATGAATGTGCCCTTAACAAACACATTTATCTTAGTTGGAGGTTAACTGAGAGGATCAAACACCCATTCTTATCGGGATCCTCATCCGCTTCATGCGTTTCTTCCGGCTATACGAACTTTAGGCCAAGAATCCTGCGGCAGGACAATACAACATGATTTCAAGGGTCCAAGTACAAAGCAAGCAAAAACACCTTGATACTCCAATAGGGGCGAATCAAAGACATGGCCTTGGGTAGGTACATTTATATTGTAGTGTATAGAAATCCATGCCTTACGTGGTTGACATCGATTACACGAAAGACGTGTATAATATTTTAAAGCTTTAAAAAAACTATCGTGTTCTTCTCTGATAACCTTTATTTTAATGTTAAATCTTCCTATGTATCCACCCAGGCCTGGTGTAGCCAAGTCCATAATCAGCTCACTTAAAATAGAAGTTTGACTAAGACACTTTCCTACAATAAGTATCCTTTGCTCTTCGAACTATCATAGTAGTACAAGTAAATTATTTTGTTAAATGGTCATTTAAACGCTTAAAACTTTAACTTATCTCTCCTTATTTAAGTATTTTTTTTAAATAAATCACGGCTCATTGCTTTATCTTTTTTCTGGCGAACTATAATTCAGTTTTATACATCTATACTAATATTATAAAGAGGTATTTGTAAGTTTGTATGTAGGAAATAATCATTTGAACCGCTGATCGGATTGCCAAAATTCTTTCACTGATAGGTAGCTACAATGTTCCTGAGTGCTATAGGCTATAAAACATCACGCTACGATCAAATAGAGCCAGAACAGCCACAGTAGCGGGTGTAACCGCTTGGGAGTAGCTAGTAGTACCTATATATTTTTACTTCCTACACAATTAGTTATCAGTGTTCTAGTGAATGAGCGATTCTGATATCTTTTTCAAATATTAACTTGTACACAAAATATTATATTAGTGTGTATGTAACATGTAAAGTGTAAGTATTAAATAACCTGCCGGTTGTATTATCACTGCTGGTGCAAGGCGTCGCGCGGCCTGCTCGTCGCAAGTTCAAGAACATCTCAGTGCCTCCCCGCCCTCCCTTCCTCGCCCGAGCGGTCCTGTCTGCCTCCGTCCTCTGTCTCGAGCCTCCAGCTTCCGCCCGGTCCTCGTTATGTAGTATGTAATCACCTCGCTGCCAACATTCGCTGTAATCTACCTGCTAATATGTAAAAACGTGTAAAACATTGACGTAGCAATTATTTAAAGTAATGCTTTACTATGCGACCCACCACCCGCCATGGCTCCCGTCCAACACAGCAACACAAAATATGATTATTTTCTAAACATAATAGTAATTATGAGTTCGTTGACCCCTCTAAAGATTAAGTGAAGGCTGTGCGGAGTTTCTCACTGCTCACATCTCTGCACTTCCGCTTAGGGCGAACCTGTTACTATACACCGGCTGTCTGCCCGGCGGCTTCACTGACATCCAAATAATAATTATTTAGTTGTCCAACAATATTATTACCTCACCTAATATTCAAACTTTGTCTGGACTGGCTCGCATTCTAAGCAACACAAATGGAGACAGTCTTAAATAAAGTAATGTCATGCATTTCACATAATTTTGTAAGCAAATATTTCTTAATTGTAGTCATTCACAAACCTATCATCAAGAGTTACAATGTCAGAACTTTGATTAGAATATACATGAATATAGAGTGGCTGTAGTTTAAAGTACCCGTTTCAGGAAGCAAATCTGAAGCTTATTGCAGGATAATTTTACTTATGCATTACCTATTACCACCTTGTTTCCATACATAATCACACGGTTGCACCGAGCATTTGTTTTAATTGAAAAGTATTTGTATTGACGTTATAATAGGAAAATGTAATATAAACTTCCTAATGAATCACAAATGCACAGAATTTTATTTTCATAAAATATAACCGAGCCATGCGTTTTATTTTATTGGACATTTAATTAATTATAATAATTGTATTAAATGATAGATATTTTTGCGTGTACGGTACTTTATGGAGTGTGTATCAAGACGTACGGGGCAAATTATTTGAGTAGAATTAACAAAATTAAATATCATAACCTTTTTGTTACTTGTTAAAAAAAATATATTATATATTATATTCCATCCCAGTTCAAATAAAATTTAAGTAATTCATCACGTTACGTCGCTATGCAATGAGGGATTTATTAGCTTCAACATTGTTCTTAACTGACTCCCTTCCCATCAAGGTCAACCACCATGTTTTGTTTATTATCAGTGTTGTGTCTGCTGAGCAAGTACTAGTATGTAACTGTGGTTTTGGTTGCAGGTATGGGTGGCGAGGCGTGCGCGTGCGCCCCGACGCCGCCGCGACTGCTGCCGGAGCCCGAGCCTGACCACCTGTACGACCACCACTCCTCAGAGGAGGAACTGGAGGTACTGCATCATCAGCTACCATCTCGCATGTTAATTGTCACTGTTCTGTAATCAAACTTTATCACAACTATATTTGCATTAAAATTGACTTAGTCTAGCCCACGAAAATAGTTCTCAGTTCTCAAAAACAGGCATTTTTGTTAGAATGTCGACCGATACCAGTAGTATAGACGAAATTACCTCTTATTGAAATGATTTCACAATATTCCGCACGCACCGTGTGAACCGGTGATCTAACAAAACAACCACGAACTACACACTATGCTGAATACATTTCAATTAGTTCGCAACGATTTAATAATTGTCCTCAGATGTAGGTCTCACGCACACCCTATAAATGTAATCTAGCTCTGAATTAATCTCAATTTCGACCTTCTACCCGACGAGGTGCTCCAGGACCTTGGAGGCGTGACACGTACTACACGCGTGAGCTCCACACGTAACTACGTGTAAATCCCTACTCCGAAAAATTGTACGGAGATCAATTTAAGGATATCTTTGTTGATATACACGTGCCATTACACCCGACCCGACGTATACACAACAAATACAAGTTTTTTTTATTCACGGTTAAATATTGTGGTATACTATACTATGACAGACTCTTAATACATTTAATGACAGGTTACCTAGATAAAACCATAGGCAGACGTAGTACATACATATAATAAAGTCTCGTAAGAACTAAACGTGGCAGCTTTAGCTGATTGTTGAATTTAGAGTATTTTATGGCCTTATATTGATGCCAGTGCCATATAATGACATTTTCCCTCACCAAAAAGCTGAAGTGGCGCCACTGTGCGGATTTGTCGTCTTTTTATAGTACGCGTATAAGTCAAACACGACATTAAGATGCTGACTATCTATTCTAATATTAAACTCAAAATTTATCGGACACTACTTAGAACTACTTAAGGCGCTCCTTTGCAGCCAGCACAATGGAGTAGGCAGGTATTACTAGATATGCTCAAAGAAACAGCGAATAGTATTGTGAGACGCAGTTAGTTGCCAAGACAATCGCTACAGAAAAGTTAATGGTGTAATTGGTCGGCAGCGCTCAGCGGCGGATTTTTTGCAGATAGTCCTCATTGTGGCCTATTGTTGCTCACTGCTCGCTAAAGCGCGCAGCCGTACGATGCGCTCTCTATCCGCATCTCACTCTGTTCTTGATGCATTTACTACGTCTTTTTATTCTTGTAATAAATTTCCTACATTACGGTTTAGAGATTGTTGATTACTTACTATCTAAAATGTACAATGTGTCATCTATAAAAGGCGGTCGGTTGCGCAACACAGACGAGGTCCTGGAGCCATATCTCACAGTGGCGGACACTTCGCATGCCGCATTAATTCGCAACGACACGCCGCAACTAAATTACAGCCGTAGACAACGTCTCCCGCGCCCCGCACTGCCCGCCTCACCTCCCCGTATCCCGTCGCATCTCGCAGTGGCCATCACGGGGCCTATTTACCAGACGCTTGATGTGTACAGCTACGGTATACACCAATATTTCTGAACGTAGATCCTGATTCTGTTCCTTAGGAGGATCGTTGATCGTTGACCTACCTAGGTCAAGGTGCTACGGTCATAATTAGTGCACAACTGTCGAAAAAATATTAAAATATAATACTTTGAAATGAAATAAAAATCTCAGTATGCAACAGAACAGTCGCTAAATAGATGTTTTTATGTGCGTCACTTGAGACTGCATCGCGTGTTGATGATGTTAGCGGATAATTCCGCGACGGAAACATAGGAGCGATGCAGTTATATGACGTGAAGAGATTAAAAAGTTAGGAGAGCAGGTGAACGCCCTCCAGCGACGCGAGCGAGCGAAAATTGGCGCGAGTAAAAAAACTGCCGACCTCATCCAACCAGCTAGCGTCATATGTTCTACTAATTTGAATGTTTTACTGCACTTTTTCTATACTTACAAATGATGTAATCCGCTTGCATTGTGGAGCTACATTACACTATTTTTTGCCTTTAATTACGTCTATGATGAAATCAGTAGGTTATACGTTGCCTTACGCTCGAAACTGGATATTCAAAACGGCCGCAATGAGTGGTGCACGCTAAGTAGCCAGTAGCCAAGTGTAGGCGCGTTGTGAGGGCGGCTGTCGTCTTCTATTGTTGCAGAAGAGTCCCTCTTTCCAAAGCTACACTCTGTGGCCGTTTATCTGCGCTGCAGAATAATGGAACCATCAACTTGTCTCCCGCTAAGTTTTGCATCGCATTTGTATACGAGCCGCGGCTGTCCATTAGTTGCAGCCCTCGACTCGCCCAAACGTCGCTCACGGCATTGTGTGCTCACTCGAGCCAGCACAGTCTAGCTGCACTAGCTGTTGCACTATTCCAAGTTCCAACAAGCTAGTCACAGTCGGTGTTCGTGGACTATGCAACAGCTGTAATGCAACCTCTAATTAGATCGTGTACCAGATTAACCGCTCTGATGGTTAGTAAACAAATTCGGTAATAACGTCAATACGAATATTTTCAATTACAATGTAAAGTAGGAACGCGAACACAAGTCGCCGATCGATACGGGAGCCGGCTGCCATTGTTCAGTAGCGGGCTGTCGGCTGTCGTGCTGCACGTCTTCAGTTGACACTAGCTCGCTTCTTTCTTTTTGAGTAACAAGACAAAACAATCCGTGAGTTTTTATTCATTTTTTCCTGTCTGCCGCCTGCATAACATTTGTTTATCTTGCGCTTGGCTTGAAATTAGAAATTCTTTTGTCTCTGTACTTTTTAATTGCAAAAAGGAAACGGAAATTGCTTTCTAAAGAAAGAAAAACGTCGTGTGATAATATTAAATGCGTAAAGCCATTCCAGCATTGTTTGCGCTCGCGGAGTATTCAGCGTGTCCGTGCAAAGGGGAGGCTTATTACCGTGAGGCGAGCGGCGGGCTGCGCACTGCATCACGGAGCCGGCTCTCCCTTGTTGGGATCATTGTACAGCTCTCCAGTACTCGATGTTCGAACGCTCTCAAGATATAGGTCCTATACCGGTATTTGCCCATGTCAAATGAACTTGTTAACTTAACTAGTAAAACATTTTACTTGAAGAGTAATGTTCCAATTTGTTTATCGTTATTTTTGAAACAAATCTATATTTCGGAACGAGCTACTAGCTTCGGCAATCACTTTCAACTTCGTATAATTGAAAATGTTATCATTGGTAATCATTTTGGTAATCATAAACTAATTCTTCCGTGATTGCCCGCGACCTCTGCATTCACATATTTAATGTCTTTCGACACTGACGTCGTTTGGGGACAATCTTCGTATCTCGTATGGAATGCCCGTACTGGGCAAATTTTTGATAATAGATATCTTTAACAGTTCCTACGCTAGTATTTCATTTCAATATGAAGTTAAACAAAACACCATCTCAGAAAAAAAGCCTTAAACTTTAGTGGTCAGATGCAACGCCGAGCCCAGCACCGGAACTATCGACCGCTAGATGCGCCTACAGCCGCGGTTCATTTCTCGTCCCGCTAGTGGGGGCAGTCATTGCTCGGCCCTCACAAAAGCGACGCGGTTTTTTCGCCGGAACCCATCCATAATAAACGAGCGGCCGGCCGACTACGCCTCGGAACGTCCCTCCGTGGCTCGCAGGTCCGTCCGTCGCCAACAGTACTCGGCGCGACTTCTCAACGCGTTTCTAATTACACGCTGAAATATTCAACAGCGCCGCCGCGTACTTTTCAGATGAGACTTTACCTCTTGTACTCTTTCTTCCATACTTGCTCCTTTTGGTCGTGTTATCAGCAGCCGACTGCTTCTCATTACGTAGACGGGGCGTAGATCTTTTCATATAAGTGGAGAAAACTAGAATATAAGATTTGGTGTAATGTTAACGTTTAGTTATTGTCTTCGGTCCCTAATGCTATAGATAGTGTTAGGTCAATATTTCGGATATTTCTTGTAAAAATCTTTTAATATCGCATATACGCACTTATCAATTGTAGGTAAGTTTATTGTAGGTGTAGAAATAGGTGAGAAAGGTTGGTTCGGTCGACATCTAGCACCCATAGGAATGCGATGCATAGTCATAAGGTTGAAGAGAGGTGTGTGACGTGTGGGTGCGGCGTGCAGGTGATCAATGGCGCGCTGCGCGGGGCCGGCGCCACGGGCGCGGGCGCGGGTGCTGAGGGCCCGACCACTGGCACGGGCGCCGCTGAATCGCGGCGTCGCGGCGCCTCCTCCCCGCCGCCCGCTGCGCCCGAGAAACGCAAGTGGCCAGCACAGCCCTACTTAGACCCCGACAACGACGAGCACACGCCCCGGCCGGCGTCCTCCGACGACGACGACACCAAGGTATGGTACTCCATACTAACACTACATCTGCATTAGAGACGTCTGTGTGCTGTGCGCTAATACTGTGCCTTTCTGACTTTCCATTGTCCCATTGTTAAGTGGATCTGAAGGATGAACTTGGTGTTGCAGGTGGAGACACCGGTGCGGTTCCGAACTTCGCCGCCGTTGGAAGCCCTGAAACCGCGGCGCGGGGGAGCGGGCGGCTGCGCCTGCGCGAGTTCAGGCGCGAGCGGGCGCGCGCCGCTGTCGCCGCGCCGGCGCCGCCTGCCGCTGCCGCCGCCGCGCCGCCATCGTCCCGCGCTCGACTTTGACAAAATGCAGCAGGTACCTACACAAGTCATGTTTTCTTTTAAAATGTTTCTCTGCACTTGAGCTGTCTCCTGGTTCATCACAGCCAGATCCGGAACAAAAATTGATGGAATTGGTTGTGGTCACCCAAACTTTTCCGTGCAGGAATCGAACCCCGTTATACATTACAAGGCACGCTTGTCCAGTCACCGCGGCAACAGGTGCATTCCAATTTTGACTAATATTAGTAATTTCTGTCGACGCCACCTACAATTTGCAAATATTAAACCAATGGGTATCATCTACATTTGTCATTAGGAAGTAAATCGGGAGCATGAAAGCTGTCGGATAATCTTCTCCAAAACTCCACCATGACTAATTTCAAACGCAAATGTGAGACACGAAATCGATTGCAGATATTTATCGTTTAGTCACAGCATTCACAACCAGCCGACGATGGTTAGTTCTGCTAGAGAACAGTTACTCGTAGTGAGGTGTAGTGGCACTGGTAGGTAGTTTTTACCGTGCCTGCGGGGATTAGTGGCCGCCTGCAGATAGCGAGCCTGTCGGCTGGCCAGTCCACCCGCTGATTTGAATAAAGCTATGAATAATTTTAAATCTATAACTGGATCGCGGACTGCTCGAGTTTGTTTTGATTTGTATTTGTAACACATATATATCTTGCTGTTGCTTGACGTGATATCGAACTGAGCGCAGGAACAAAGCGGCGTCGTAATATTTTAAAGGAGTATTTGTCAAATTTGGAAGCATATGAAAGCATTAAAGCTTTAATATATACAAATCTTCAAGGGTATTATTTTAAATCTTCTTTTAACAAGGTATTAGTCAGATTATTTTAGTTACAACAAGAAAAAACAGGTTCAGTTGGTTTTAGATTATAATTGTACCATAAAAACATCGTCGCTAACGCTGTCCATAAATTGCTGCAGTGTAAACACAAGATCTCTTGAGCTTGAATCTTTTCCTACAGTTATTTAATAAATCCGAGACTCGCTTCAAGATGAAATAAAACAACGTTATTCGCTAAATGAGAGTAATGAGGTAACTTTAAGTCTTTTACCTGTAAACTGTAAACTTGATTTCAATGATCTCTCCCACACTCTTTACTCTTTACCCACAAAATGCTTTCCGGGTCTGAGTCTGATGTGTGTGTCTGAAATTGTAAGTTTGTAAACGTACCCTCGAAGACACATGAGAAAATGCAACGAAACAATATGCTATGAGTCTATCAATATAAATAAAAAACAAATGGTAGAGAAAAAAATGTAAAGTGTAGCGTAGTGGTATGATCAATAATCGAAGCGTACGAGCTCCATCTTTGTCCGAGTCCGGTAACGTAGTGATTGGCAGCACATGGCGACGCATAATGATCGCACATGTGGAGCCCAGCTCACAGCTCTGCGCTGTTCCCACGCTACTCGACTTGGAAACCTCTCTGACCCTCGCCAATTTAAAGTTCATTATGTGTTTTCTACTAGATCTATCAATGTTTAATAAAAGAGCTCTCATTTTAAGCCTCTTCCAAAGTATTATATCAATGTGCACTCACGAGTATCTACTAGAGTACTAACCTCTATGAACACTTAGATGAACTCTTCTTTCCAGCGAGTTTTATGTATATACTTGTATACAGCATCGCATGTATGTATTATTATATACAACACCAGTATCTGAGCTAAATTGGTTCTTGCGATTGATGCGAAAGATGATTTATTTTTGTTACTGAAATTCGTGACGGATCGATCGGACGTCGTTCTCTCAAGGCTAACAGAAGCTATCGATTTGCAATGGTGATATAATTGATTACCCGTCGGGACATCTTTCGGCATTGTCCAGCCTCTACAACTTTTCTGTATTTTGACGTTTTCAGATATTTTACACCCGGACTATTGGAAGATTTCAGGATTACTGTCTTCTAAGATTAAATGATTTATTTCCTTTGTCGTACTTTCGTTACGAAAACGTTTAACGTATCTACATAATAATATGGACATGAGCTGGTTGCACCTTTGGTGATACGTTATCAAGCCGTTATCGGGCGTCAGGTCGTTGACCCCGGGCATGCGGGCACTTGCATCTGTACTGTACTTTACTGGCTACAGCGCACAGAAACCGGGCAGATGCCAGTCTACTGGGGTCATGTGTTCATTGAGTGCCGACAAAATCATTACACAATAACAAAAGCGTACGTTAAGACGTTTTTATCATAGATTATATTTATAATATCCAGTAGATATCTGATTGCATATCATAGTATCAGAGGGGCACATATGCTCAGTGCACGTGCGCACCAAATAAATGTCGAGCCGACGTAGCCTACGCATGACACTATGCGATCTATTGACGCATTGTAAATATAATAGACAATGAATAAGCGTCCAGGTAGACATACTCGCAAACACTAAGCAAGTAGGTGTTTTATTATGTGCAAGCAGCGAATTTGATAGCTCTTGACCGTCAAGTGTTCCGCGTCAAACCACATCCGGGATGTACAAGCAGTACGTATTGATTCAAGGCGTGCCAAATTATAAATGATCGTAGATCTAATTAATGCATACAAAGTACTAGTTAGATGAAGTTTCGGGAGTACCTCATATTGTTCTATGTCCATCTAAAGTTTATTCAGAACACATCTGAGTGCCTAGTGCTAGTTAACGTTGCGTTAAGGTGATCGAAGCGGTTATGACGTTTAGTGCTCTCTTTGGCCCGATGCAAGTTAGCCAACCAATCAGACGACTAAACGCGGTAACGTTTCAGTTGTGTTAACGTTAACCAATTCTCTCTAAGCGTTCCATTAATTATTTAAAGGTTTTATTAGAAACCTTGGGTTATTTTTCTACCATTAGCTGAACTAAAATAATTTTAAATACTTTTTTAGATTCATAAGTCTAATTAAACAGTTTAACTACCTGACCCTCCTAGCCACGATGACGGTGAGTGGGCCAGAAAGATCTAGTTCTAAATTCTTAGATCTTAAATTGTGAACTTTGAATACCATTTTAACCTTACCTAATGATGATAGTATTCGTATAACATTATACAACGGCGTTACTTGCAAGGTACCTACGCGTGACGCGCGATGGAGGTAGAATGGGACACGGTAGTAAGGGTAATAACGTGGCGTGTGGGCCAGTGTGGGCCAGTGTGGGCAATCGAGACGCACTCAATGGTCGAGCTCAGCTCATTCAGTGTCCCCGCTGAACGCATCAATGAACGACATTCCTTGCGCGCGCAGACCGCCTAAACATGGCCGCCCCCTATATGGCGAGACGTGGAATGAAAACTCGACGCATTACACTTTTTACTGGGCAACGTACCAAGTAATAAGAAGTGTTTTGATTTAAACATGCCACTTCTTATGTGGAGAAATCGTTTCAACCGGCTCGCTTTAAGGGTGAAGGATCTTAAATGGACACATTTATTATTGGAAATCTCTTACCAGCCTATGTTAAATGGAATTCCAAAATAAAAAAGGAGCAATCGATTTCAGTAATTAACTGTTTTTTGGGAAATTATTTGAAACATGAACAAATTTAGTATTAGTTCGTTAATAGATTATGAGAGTATTTTAAAGTCTTGTATTTTTGTCTTGTATGTCAGCCAGGATAATTGCCGGTCTGCCTAAATAATTTCCTGTGTACAATACGGTCACGCAATATGATATTTGACAGATAGTCAGAAATACTTTTATCGATAAAGGTATTTGTGTAAGATACAGACCAAGGTAACGTCATCATAGTATAACGTCAAATAGGATAGATATTCCTAAAAACATGTATGGGTCAACTCATCTAATTCTGTGATAAAAAAGAATGTGGAAAAAAAAAACAGGTTAAACTTTATAAATTTTATTTTTATTTTTTATAGGAACATTAATCAGTCTTCTATTTATCATATGAGCAAGTGTAATCTTAATATATATGAATCAACTCAGCGTAAAATGAGCTTAATCAAACCGCGATGACTTGTCTAATTCTGTGACAAACACCATAATTCGGTGATAGTACTTTTCTAATTCTGTTATAACCGAATTAAGAGAGTATTTATTATTTTTTAACATAAAATCAACAAGTATACGCTTTTAACAACTAATTGTCAAAGTATCATCAACTTACACTCACCTTTTCTATTTAAAATTAATTAAATAATGACAGCACAGTCGCACGCTACCGTGAAACGTCAAACATGGCGGGCGGAATGACAAATTCCGTGATTGTTACTATATCACTCGCACGATCTTAACAAAAATTTGTACACGAAAAGAAGATTTATTACCATACCATAGGGTTAATTTTAATGTATTGGATTTTACTCCTATAACGCTGTGAAAGAGTCCAAACGTGGAATCTCCGAATTAAGTGAGTCACACAATTAGGTGAGTTTACTATACCTATACTGGAAAATTAAACAATGATCTAGGTATATCGTCAAATCTACAAATAAAATACGAATACTTTTGATATTACAATTACTTATTTTTCGACTGATGAAAGTACACTTGACAGGATTGAGGATAATGAATAGTAGGTACCTATTTGTATTGATGAAGTAATGGAGTAATTAAAATATTAATAAATCTAAAATCTATGCATGGGCAAACCGTATTAGAAGATATAAAAAAAGGGTAGAGCGCTATACTCAGAATCGTATGTTCCAAAGCGATCAAAGGTGGGTGTACAGAGACTGGGAACGGTCCAGCCAAGATGTGGTTAATGGACAGCGTCCGGACGATGAAACTACCAACTCGTTTTGGCGCAACATCTGGTCGGTGCCTGTTGACCACACGGAGGCTGACTGGATGTGCGATGTTAAGCGGGAGTGTGAAACTTTACCAGAGATGGAGAAGGTAGTCATTACCTCCTCTGATGTAGCCAATGCAGCCTGTTCGGTCCCCAATTGGAAATCACCGGGGCCGGACGGACTGCATAACTTTTGGCTGAAATCGTTCACCAGTTCACACGATCGCTTAGCGTCGCAGTTTCAGATGGCCTTAGAAGCTGGATCGTTGCCTCAGTTTCAGACTACAGGTATTACCCACCTGCTCCATAAATCAGGTAGTTACACTGAACCCAAAAATTATAGACCGATTACGTGTTTACCAACGGTCTATAAACTTTTTACATCCATTTTGAGAGCAAAAATAACAAAACATATAGAAAAAAATTCCATCATGTCTGTCTCTCAGAATGGATGTAGAAAGGGGTCACGTGGAACTAAGGAGCTACTCCTCATCGATATGGTCATTAGCCAGCAGGTTCGTCGATCTCGAAAGGATTTGTCTACATGCTGGATAGATTATAAAAAGGCTTATGACTCCGTACCACATACATGGCTTATGAGGGTGCTGGAGTTGTATAAAATTAATACAACTCTGCGCAGCTTCTTACAGTCATGTATGAGGCAGTGGAGCACGGTGCTTTCCTACCCAGGATGTAAGCAAATCCAAAGGAGTGAAGAACCTGTAAGGATAGTGCGAGGAATATTCCAGGGTGATAGTCTGAGCCCACTGTGGTTCTGCTTGGCCTTGAATTCTCTCAGTACTTTACTTGAGGCTTCAGGGCTGGGCTATCGTTTGCGGAGAAAAGGTCACGTTATTTCCCACTTACTTTACATGGATGACCTCAAGTTTGCACCAAACAAGGAGGAGCTGGTGGAACTACTAAAAATAACAAAAAATTTTAGTAGTTCCATCAGAATGGAGTTTGGTGTTGATAAGTGTGCGGTCATGCATGTAAAGCGAGGCGGTATAGTGGAATTTGAAAGCCTAGAGCTGTCAGATTTCACAAAACTGAGATCACTCTCCGCAAATGATACGTACAAGTATTTGGGTATGTCGGAAGGATTGGGTATTAATGGGCCGCACATGAAACAATCTTTACAGGAGCGCTTTTTTGGCCGCCTGAATAAGGTACTGAAAAGTTCGTTATCAGGCGGCAACAAGGTGCGAGCCTTTAACGGTTGGGTCATGCCGGTCCTGATGTATTCTTTTGGCATACTCAAATGGACTCAGACTGAACTTGACGCCCTGGATAGACGAGTCCGGACGCTGTTGACTGCAAATCGAATGCATCACCCTCGTTCATCAGTCATGAGGTTGTACATCCCGCGGAAGCGTGGGGGTCGAGGCTTTCTAAACGCTAAGACCCTTCATAACCGTGAGGTGTGCAATCTCAGAGAACATTTCCTAAAAGTGGACGAGGATATGCATCGAGAAGTAGTCACAGTGGACAAGGGATTCACACCATTATCCTTGGCTAAAGAGAACTGGTGCAAACCCGTTGTACTGAGCGTCAATGACCGCAAGGCGGTATGGAGTAGCAAGGAGCTTCACCGAAGATTTTCTAGCGTCCGTAGCTTGGCTACGATTCAGTAACCTCTTCGGAGAAACTGAAGGATTTGTATGTGCAATTATGGACGAAGTTATCCTCACGAATAACTACCGGAAATATATTATGAAGGATGGGACGGTTGACATATGTCGGGCATGTCATAGCCCCGGTGAATCCATCAGGCATATTATTTCCGGCTGTGGTCGTTTGGCTAATGGCGAATACTTGCACAGACATAATCAGGTGGCCAAGATTATTCATCAGCAACTTGCTTTGAAATACCGGCTTGTTGAGTCTGAGGTTCCGTACTACAGGTAAGTGCCCGACCCAGTTCTCGAAAAAGACCATATCACATTGTACTGGGATCGGTCTATCATCACAGACAGGACTATTGTAGCCAATAAGCCTGACATAGTGTTGGTAGACCGACTAGCGCGTCGCACGACGATAATCGATGTTGCCATTCCTCATGACGAGAACCTCGTGAAAGCTGAGAAAGATAAACAATTGAAATATCTTGACTTAGCTCACGAGGTTGTTGACATGTGGAGTGTGGACTCGGCTATCGTTGTGCCGATAGTTGTGTCGGCAAATGGGTTAGTCCCCAAAAGCCTCGACAACCACCTTAAGAGGCTGACGTTAGGCGGATGGATCAAGGGCCTCATACAGAAGGCAGTCCTCCTTGAAACGGCACGTATTGTGAGGAGGTTTCTGTCTCTGGAGCCCTAACTGCCGGTGGCTTGGACCTTGCTCCCGCTGCCGGCTGGCTCCTACTTTTATATTTTTAAATATTATTTTATTTTAGTTTATAGTAATATTTAAAAATGTAATTTTAGAGTAATTTTAATAAATCTAATATTATTATGAAATGTATTGTTTCAAATCGTTAAATTCCTCGTTTTCTATGAGTTTTGTGTTGTGTCATGTTTTTTTACGTGAAAAAGGCCTACCTACCTGCTACCTGCGTACTTGCTTATTGTTAGCCAGACAAATACGAATATTAAGTATCTATCTATATTTTATAGTAAAGTCGGTGTATGGAAGTGTGATGTTATTTTTGTGTTTTATCTGAACTCTGAATGAATTATTTTTAATTCACAGTTTGAGCTTAACAGGTGGATGAAGTTTAGTTAGTAACTTTTCTACTCCTGTTGCTACAGCCTATTAATATTGTAATAATAAATGTGTTTAGGCATACCGAGAGTTAAAGCAGGCATAAATTAAATACTAAACAAGTGCCTGTATCATTTCTTCTTATTTTAATACTATTTATATTCTAGATTTCCTACGATAACTTTAATACACTTTATTCTATATAGTTGCCATGTTTGCGCTCACCAGGTGGCGCCCTTTGCGACTAACTCTAACCAACTCTTCTGTTGATATTTGTACTGTAGTTGTCAGTTTCCCTCCGCCTAAATACGGAAATAATAAGAATGTGTGTTTTGTTTCCAGCTGAAGGTGGGCGGCGGCGGGGTGCGGTCGTGGCGGGCGGTGGGCGGCGCGCATGGCGGCGAGCTGTCCGTCTTCTGCTGGTGATGCGGACGGTACGTGCGGCCTGCTGGTCGTACATAATATATCATTTGCACATCTTCATTGTGCGACTTGTTCTTGATAGTAACGAATGTCTTGTACATTGCAGCTTGTCGGTGGGCTGTCGCTGGCTGGTGCGGGCGCGGCGGACTGAGGCCCGTGACCGCGCAGGGCCCCTCGACCCCGGGCCCCGATGGGCCGGCGAGGCCCCCGTGCGACCCGGCGCCCCGTAGCCCCGCAGTGTCACCGCCTCGACGCCCCGCGCCCCACTTCTGTTTTAGTCAAATGTCTATAATCAGTCCCTGTTAGCGCAAAAAAAGGTTGTTTCAAGTCCCGTACTATTGTATCGACGGCCGCGGGGCGCGGGGCGACGGGGCGCAGTAGCTAGGTCCGGCCTGACCTCTCACAGCATGTGTAGCACCACCTGAAGCCTGAAGCTCGCCCGAGCCGCCGAGCCACTGGGTCGGTCGGTCAGTCAGTCAGTCAGTAGCCACGTGGCTGGGCGGCCTGCGACATCCAGTTCCTTTGTAAATTGCACTCTAATAATGATCAAAGTACAAACTTACGATACTAGGAGGTGTCCGCAGACTGGCACCTCAGCCGGCGATGCCCGCCGACACTGTTTTTCGAAGAATTTACTCGTTTTGAATACTGTGTTTTATCCATCAGTTTGATACTTGACTAGATTGTCAGAACGCGGGATTTTTAATGAATATTTAGTTAATGATGTCAACGAAACTACAAGTTTATACGAGGCCATCGCTAGGGTAACGCTGTGCCCAAATTACTTTAATTTGTCTATTGTGATAAAATGGTATTGTAATGATATTTCAATGGACTGAACACGAGCGGCCGGCGCCGCCCTGGCCGGCGACAGGGGCGCAGGCCGGCGCGCCGCTCGGTACTAGAGGTACGTTGTACGTAGCACGTGGGACTTCGCCTCGAGTTTTTGATCTCGAATTGCGAGTGAGTCGCGCCGCCCCGGCCGGCTGCGCGCGGTTCCTTCCTAGACTAACGTCGGTTATATTTTACCAGTTTTTAATGTCAATTGCTATGAGGACGGCTGCCCCGGCGCAGCTCGTCGTTCGTACAAGTTTTGTCGGTTGTACTCTAGTTGTATACTTATGTTAGTAGTGTTTAGCGGGGCTAAAACATTCTGTTACTTGTATTGTGTTATAAAACGAAAACGAAAAAAAATGAAACATAATAAAGTTAATGTGGTGCGAGTGGAGTCAGTGAATTTAACGATAAAGACATTTAACAAATTTTCAAATTAATATGATAAAAAGTACTAAGACTTTTTTTAAAAATCGCTTGGATAAAGATATTGTATGTACATAGTGTTAAGTGACGTAGAATAAGTGCAGACTTAGATGTAGTAGGTATAACAAATTGTATGGCGGCGTCCGCTCTATTGTTAACGACGTTTCTTTTTAATTGTGTTATTTTTTATTTCTGCTATAGTTTCGTTACTGACACTTTCATTGTTATCGAGCCATCAGCTGCGCGCCCGCCGGGCTCCGCCCCGCTTGTTGACGTTAGTGTCGCGAGCCTAGCGCTGCTCGCTCTGCCGGACTGCTGCTATAAGAGTAATATAATGTGAATAAAGGACATTTTTGTATGGGTTTTCTAGGGGTAAATAGCTTATAAGCAGTCCGGCAGAGCAGGCTCCGGTGGCTCGGATGCGCCGATATATCGCGCGATGTACTCGAGCGGACCCCGCGGCTCCTTGTTTGCAACAATCAGTGGTGATATTTTACAAAATAATTTATATTATGTTTTTATATATTAACAAGCGTAATAAAGAGTGAGCAAAAGCACATCTTATATCAATGTTTCATTATTCCCATGTGTTTGTGACGTCCGTACCTTACACTGACTACACTGAGTGATTACATAGCAACATCTTGCAATATATTCTCTGACGATCCGTGACTGCAAGTTAAATTAATTAGTCGTAACTTCTGAATTGTGCTGCTGAGACTGGAAGGCTGCCTGTAAGTAGACGAGTTCGATTCTCGTGCTACAGTTAAATGTTATGATGGAAATGTCTGAATTTATAATATAGGTACGTACATAATATGGTGGCATTTTTAAATGGTAAAGTGACAGACTGGCCTTGTGTTTAAAACCGTTCTTACGACTCTTCTGTTACGTCGGACTATCGTCCCTTTGCATCGTAATATAAAGAAGATCACATCAAGTTAATTTATGCCGTAAACGAAGTGAAGGCTTCTTACGATCGCCAAGTGTCACGGTGTTGTTTTGATTAAGATATTCGTACTTGGTTCAATTAGGCATTAATTATTTATTCATCTTTATTGTCCAACCAACAATAATGGGGTTTGCCGATCCCACTGTTATACATATAATTTGGCACTACTTCGTCTGAATTAGCGACATTTCTAATAACATTTCCAAGCATTCTTGCGGTCCTTTTTAAGACAGATTCCACCTGTGGAACGAATGTTGGTTCTTTGTCATAGATCTCCAACTCAAACTTATTTATTACAAACATAGGTAATAAGTACAAAAGACATGATGAAGAACTTTCAAAACCCTAACCTGATGTGCTTCTTGGATGAGATCAGAACCTATGTGGTATATACTTGTTTTTTTATGGAATAAGTCGGCAAACGAGCAGTCTGATTACCTGATGGTAAGCAATCAGCGCCGCCCATGGGCACCAAAGGAGTTACGAATGCGTTGCCGGCCTTTTGTGGATAAGGGTTGCGGATATTTATGGATTGGGAAGGGATAGGAGAGAAGGAGCGATTGGGTATCTGGTAACCTCACTCACACGGCGAAACATAACGCTGTGGTTGTTTCAGGCCGGTATTCTGTGAGGCCTTTGAATCACTCCGGTCGAGCCGACGCATTCATACCGAAGCATGGCTCTCCTACACTTAAATTAAGGAGGTGGCCTATTGTTAATTTTGTTGAATAATGTCTAAAATAGACCACCAAAAAAGAATTTATAAACCATTGTATATGTATTCTGTAGCTTTTAGTTTGTGGTAGATTGAGATGCAGTTGGTTATTATTTAATCGTCTTTGGTCAGAAGTCAAATTATCTGTCATTTTAATAACAATAGCAAATAGATGTTGATGTACAAATTGGCACAGAATGGATTCTTTGATTGTTATGCGAAAACCTCTAAGAAAACCTCAGATAGCTCCGAAATGTGTGATATCGAAATCGAAAAAATCGGCGGCTAAAGTAGAGGTATTGTCTTCTGAGCCCCTTCCACAGACTGAGGAAAGCACTGCGCCCCCCGCAGCCCCTGTCTGCTTCGTGCAGCTGTACGGACGCTGCGGACCCTGGCACCGCGCGCCCATCCCGCACTCAGGGCACGGCGACACGCTTGCATTGCATGGTGACACGCCAGTACTGCACGGCTACTGCTCCAGCCCAAGCATAGGATCAGCCCGCGCCCACCTTGTTCACGAGTTGGCATACGACAGACCTTACAACTTACAATGATTTTAATTTTTTTCTGTAACACCTACCTGCAATCTATCAATCATTTATTATTTGTAAAACATAGGTTACAAAAAAAATACAGATCTTATAGATAAATACAGTGCGCTATGTTTTGTCTTAGGTGAGACATACAAATACCTAAGTATGTGTAGTTAAAATAATAGTAGGTACACTAAAATGTAACTAAACGTAACAGATATTGGACAAAATATTTAAAAGCTGGATTTTATATTTAACTAGCTACTCGCACGCGGTTTCACCCGCTGCTCGGCTCCAGTTGATCGTAGCGTGATGTTTTATAGCCTATAAACGCACTGGAAGATTGTAGCTATCTATCAGTGAAAGAATTTTGGCAATCCGACCAGCGGTCCCAAAGATTTCCCCCTACATACAAATTTTACTTCTCAATAATCTTTAGATATATATAAAAAAATCGTGTCACGTGTATGTCCGCGATGGACTCCTAAACTACTAAACCGGTTTTAAATTTGATTTTCATTTCGTGTGCATTTTGATCCAACTTGAAAGATAGGATAGCTTACATCTCAATTTATAGTCACAATGTTATTTACCTTAGCCACAGCAACGCGTGGCTGGGTCTGCTAGTATTAGTATAGATTTTTATAATACTTACACTAGCTACTCTCGCGTGGTTGCACCCGCTGCTCAACTCGATTTGATCGTAGCGTGATGTTTTATAGCATATAGCACTCAGGAACATTGTAGCTATCTATCAGTGAAAGAATTTTGGCAATCCGACCAGCCGTTCCAAAGATTACCCCCTACATACAACTATACAAATCGTACCTCTTTATAATATTAGTATAGATAATTCAAGATAAAAACTTATCAATGTGTTATTTTAATTTAAAAGAATATGTACCAAATCCAAAGTTATCGACATAAATATCAAACAAAGAATGGTATAAATTCTTGCACCTACTGTTATCTCTTGTGGCATAAGTCCACCTTGTATACAAATGTATGTGCAAAAGAATGAATAAATAAATATAAAGTGGGCTGGTCATAGTTTTAAACTGGAACATGTGGTCTTCGAAGAAGGAATCAGGGTTCTTGATCAGGTCTTGCGGGTAAACGGGTCGAATTAAGAAAAGGCTTCGCTGCAGATTGAAATTACATTTTACCCTGGTCAAGGCTGGTGAAGGTTTAAAAATAGTATTGTCTTATTCGTAATTCTGAGATTTTGTTGGCAGTTTTTCAAACTACTGACAAACGATACTCTGAAATGAATGTAGCCTCAGTAAGTAAGTCGTACAAGCTCGAGCTCAGTAACATATAATTCGAGAGGTATATATACCTCCCGAATTGAATAGGTGTATAACAATAGAAAGATAATCTCATCTGTTAACACCCAGCTTCCTCTTCCCTGAAGAAGGCGAAATAAATAGAGATAGTATTAAATTATAAATGAAACGAATGTTCATTAAAAATTGATTTATTACTTATTGATAATATTGTAAATGCAAAACTATTACAATGGAGATGTCCTTCACTAAGACATTGTTGAACAAAATTTTCGTGTATATAATAATATGCATGTGTGTAAACTAACTTACTAAAATACATAATATAACATTACAGCAGTCAAAGTTAACAACATTGTTTCAGTGGCCGGAGAAAACTATTGTCAAAAAATTTAACATTTGGCTTTGTCTGTCATCACTAAAATTATTTCATATTGAGATTGTGGTCTAAAATATACATAGGAACATAATTTTATTATCACTAGCATTTAATAAATAATTTGGGCCAGACAACTGAATCATTAACTACATAAGGTATAATTTAATACATGACATCAACTATTAAAATTGTGAGTGACACCTCTTGTACTTTCTCATAACACTAAACATAACAAATAAATCAGTCCATTTAAATATACTAATCTACGCTTGCTCATTTCTCTTTCACAGTTACATTAAAATATTTCAATAATGTTCTACTTTTCTTACCAGATTTTGGTGTTCTTTCAGACGCGGAATTTCTTCTTTGTGGAATATTTTCTTTGGGACTAAGAGGTGCGGTAACACTTGGTTTCTCAGCCACCTCTGGACATTTTCCTTTTTTTTCGCGACCCAAACGTGTCAACCAGTCTGTTGTAGTATCCTTTTTCTTAACAGGAGACATGAGCCTCAAGTGTGGCGCTTCTCCATCTAACACATAGTTAGGCAGGTTCTTAGTGGGTGTGGTGAAACTTATTATCCTCACTTTAGTTGGGGACACTCGCACTGGAGAAATATAATTGTGTGATGTTGTAGGAGATAATGGCTTCATGCCTTTAGGTGATAATATTTTGCACTGTTTGTTCTCAAAATTTTTGGTTGGTGTCATAAAAGAGGCACCAGCTTTAGGCATGTAGCCCCAGTCTTCAGATGCTTCTACTTGACAGTTCCTCGGTGGACTTTGCTCGAGGCACTCTCCATGACGTTTAATGCCTGCAGGCAGCAGCTTTGGTTCAAATTCTTCAGGGTGAGTTTCTAACTTCAGTCTTTTTGTCGATATTTCAAGATCTTCGGCATCCTTCGAAGCGTTCATGAGATCGGTGAGACATCGTTTTGTTTTTCTATTAGATATAATTGCCTGAGATCGCATCCGTTTGGCACTGTATGATCCAGGGGTGGTCACAATTTTGCGTTTAAGAGAATTGGGAGTTTTATCCAAGGAGCCCCACTGAGGCAGGCTGGTGACGTCTGTGCGTGCCACGACTTCAGCACGCCCCTTCAGCTCAATATCGTTGTCGGGATATTCCTTGCCAATCCTCCAGATTTTGTGCCTTGCGTCGTCGCTGCAGGTGACGAGTTTCATATCCCCCTTGTGGCACCAGGCGGCGCAGGTCACCTCTGCCCAATGTCCCGTCAGCTTTACGACAGGCTCCGAGTATTTGACATTCCACACGTAGGCGTTCTTATCGCTGCTGCCACTGACCAAGTACATGCTGTCAGGACTGAGGCAAGTCTTTATGTAGAAGGTGCTGTTTTCGTGTCCTATGTATCTCTGCTCCGGCATGGCGTTGTAAGTCGATATATTGAAACAGTAAATAACATTGTCCATACAGCTGGCATATAATCTCATCCTGGCATCATCTATTATTAAATTAGTGTATCCATTCTTGGTCGAGCTTCCGCAATAGGGTATGGAGTGTTTCGGCAGGGGCTCTCTCTTGTAAATGTTATAGTTCTTACGAAGGTCCCACACCTTGATGTTACCGTCACACTCTCCGCAAGATAAAAGCGTCATATCGTCTTGGAAGACGAGGCCAGTGATGCTGATAGCGCGATGGTTGTCGATGCGGGGTCGCTTGCCGTGTGAGCCGGGCGTCTTGGGATTGAAGCTAGAGTGGCAGTTCATAAGGCAGTTGTCCGGCTTAAGCACGACAGCAGGTTGGTTGTTGGCCCTGATGTCCCAGACGAGTATGTGTCCGTCCCTAGCCCCGGTGGCGAACACCGAAGGTTCGGTGGGCCGGAACACGGCAGTCTTCACAGATCTAGTGTGACTAGAAAACACTAGGACCCTTTTAGGTGCGCCCTCTCCTACGTCCCATAGACACGCTGTGTGGTCACCTGAAATGTGATAAAATAATGTTTACCTTATATTTTCATTACATCTATTCTTGAATAATAATCTGAGATATATTACAATTGTGGGAAGATCTATTTTTAACAAATCTTAAGTAAGTTGTGTTCTGTTAGTGATGAGTAAGTAATTGTTATGGTATGAGATGTGAAGTTACTTCAAGATTAAGAGCACAGCATGGGTTTCTCTTAGTACGGTACAAAATGAAATGCATATTAAAATTAACCTAACTTATTGATAAAAATACAAGACTTAACATTAATTTGTATATCCGATGTCAACATGTTTTAATATTTGCCGTGTTTTTGTTCCACTTGTTTTTTTTAGAATACGCGTCGCAAACTGGCAGACTGATAATCTAATGATGAATGATCAGCGCCGCCCATTGTCACCCGCACCATCAGAGGAATCGGAGACGCGTTGGGGCATTTTAAGGAGTACGCGCTCTTTTATTGAAGGTTTGAAAATACCGACATCGAAAGATTATTGTGAAGTTTTAATTTACGAAGATGGTGTAAATGGGTCTCCAGCTTCTTTGCAGACAGAAACATAAATAAAGGTTGCAGTAAACGCTGGTGCCCTCAAGGCTGCTTGCTATCGCCTACTCTGTGCCTCCTCCATATCAATGATATGTTGCAAATCAGTCTTCTGAATGCATTTTCATACAATGATCCAAAGATCCAGCTTCAAATAACACATGCAATACTTATTTCTTGGTAACATGGACAAAGTCACGGGCAGAAGCTAGTCTTACACCAGCTGCCCAACATGTCATGGGTGCAATTCCTGCATGCAACAACTGTCTCTGTGATTTAAAAAATCGGTGTTCCAGGTCAAGGCATTATAGTGTATGTGATATTGTATATTTACAAACATACCCACAACACAAATGAAATTTCTAGTATGGGATATGTATTTTATACAATACCACCTATGACATATCTTGGCGAGTCTGAAGTTAGCCGATTAGCTGCGCAGTACACAATTTTGTTCCTAAAAGATTCAAAGTGCAGACAAATGGCTTACTTCAGACTCGCCAAGATACAGCGGCCATACTGTAATTATACAAAAACACACTCGTTCTGATAGACACATTTTTGTGTTCAAAAGTTTTAAGTGGGTAACTGGCTGTTTGGTGGTTGAGAATTAGGTATATTTAATTATATTAGTTGACTATACATAAGAACATACAAACTATGTTCTTTAAAAAAATAGGTTTTAAAAGTGATGAAAAATATCTAATGACAATTTTTGATTTAAGAAATAAATTCTCACCTATTTCAATGCATTTGTGTTGTAGTAAAGCGCAACAGGTGCAATGACAACAGGCTGTGTCTACATTGTGGGAAAACAACCCTAATGACCAAAAGTTTGCATTGCATGTCCCCAAAAATATATAATAAATT